CTTATGGGACAAGTCAGAACTAATCAGTGTTTCAGGCACAACTGATCTCATCATCTAAGCGTATGATTATATATTCTGTTTTGCTCCACTGTTCCTTTGGAAAATGCCAATTTACTGGCCATTATATCCGCTAGGTTAATCCAAGGAGCTCTGGTGGCATGGTGCCTAAGGCATGTGACTACCAACCAGAAGGCTGGCGGTTCAAACCCATCACCCACTCCTCGGAAGGAAGGTTGGGCAACCTACTTTTGTAGTGATACTGCCTCAGAAACCCAAAGAGGGGTCTCTAGGAGTCAGATCCGACTGATGGCAGAGCATTAAGTTAATCCAAGGTCCACTGGGAAATATATGTCATAGTCCCAGTACTGTAAAATCACAAATACTAAAACTAGATCTAATATGGTTATGATAAAAACAGTTTATATAACTAAGAATACAGAACTGCTTCTTTAAAATAGAGCAGGGAATGTCATATGAACCCTCAACCTGACTTTCCATTTTTTGAACCCTAAGTCATTGCTTGGGTCTTACATCAGCCTGTGTCAAAATTAAACCAGTCACTTTCTTGCTTTCTTATCATGTCCTCTAAGTCTCCAAAGTCCCCTGAAACCTCCTCTAAGTCTCCAGATCAATCTCAGCTTTCTCCACTCTCAGGACTCAAGGTGACCAGGCACAGTGCCCGGAAGATGGCCCCAGGCCACATGGCACTCCAACAGAGTGAATGCAAGGAAGCAAGTGCTTAGCTACACATCCTGGACACAGCACTGACCGTGGTCAGCTTCCAGTCACACCTCACCGGTTTTTTTTCCAGAATGAAGACGAAGGGTGGGGCCGAGAGGGGCACGGAAGACACCCAGAAGGTGATCAGATGCCAACTGGATTAAGGATCAACAGGAAGAGAGTCCAAGTGCAAGATATTTAAATAGATAGCCCTGGCCAATTTAATAAATCAACATAATTCAAATTCAGCACATTTTCAAAACTCAGATGCTATCCAATTACTCTAGATCTGAAGGACAGTTCTGACTTTTCCTTTTAGAGATGGCATGCACACAAGTCAGAAATACCAAATCCAAACCCTGATTCTGTAAAGATGCTGCTTAAATAAGAGTGGGACTCTGGTTAAGAAGCCGGGCTTCAATTTCTTCTTCTGTCAAGGCTAGATGGTATCTAGTAGGACTGTTGTTGTTGTTATGTGCCGTTGAGTCGGCCCCGACTCATAGCGACCCCTCCTTTGGGTTTCCGAGGCAGTATCACTACGGAAGTAGGATTGCCCAACCTTCCTTCTGAGGAGTGGCTGGTGGGTTTGAACCGCTAGCCATCTGGTTAGCAGGCAAGTGACTTAGCCACTATGCTACCAGAGCTCCACTAGATGATATCTAATTCAGGATATATGATTTTAAAAGCTGGAGCATAGTAAGTCTGAGAAAAGTCAAGAACAATGCATAACAGAGTTAGAACAGAAGTGACAGTAGGGTTGGAAAGCCTCTGGAAGATGTTTAGAGAGGTCCCTAAATGAAGAAAATAGGGCTTGGGAGAAATCCAGAAACGCTCCAAGAGAAAATCATATACAGGTCTCCTTCTCCGAGATTCGTGCCCTGTAGTCACAGATCCTTCTCTTCCCAGGTGATGACTCATAGGATGGACTACCTGCAGATGTCATCATATCCCTTCTGCCTCTGGGGATGACTCAACCTTAACTACCGAAGAGAAATGAAAGATTCCAAGGGCTCAGCCCCTGACCACAGTAACTCAGTCAACCATCTAATAATCTTTTGGAGCCTGCAACTTCTTTTTTATCATATAGCCTAAAACCTAAATACATTTTTCTCGGTCTCTAGTTAAGGTTTTTTTTTTTTTTAATAGTCTTCAAAGTTTTAGAAACACCCAACAGGTTTTGAGCCTCTCAGATCACTATTATGCTGTTATAAAATCTTAACTAGAGCTTAAAATAGTAGTAAATATTTAAGGAGTATTACAGAAAATTGAACTCACAAAAATCTATGATCGGTTTTCTTTAATAGTACATTTCTCTGTTATTACGACACATCTTTGATACTTCTCCCTCAATAAAGTCCCTTGTTCGGTAAGTTTATTTTTGTCATAAGTCTAGTTAAAACCAATCAACGTTAAGATGCTTTGAACAGGAGTTTCATAAATGTGGCTGTGAGTTTAAATATCTATTAGCCAAACTACAATAACTTTTGGCTTACTTAGATATTACTCTTAAGCAGTCTTAGAATCACAGAATATTTACCACCTTGTACAGTGCCTGGCACATAGTGGGAACTTAAGGAGTTCTGGTGGCACAAAGGTTAAGTGCTCAGTTGCTAACCAAAAAGGTTGGAGGTTCAAGTCCACTAGCCTCTCCGCAGGAAAAAAAAGAGCTGGTGATCTTCTCCTGAAAAGATTACAGCCTAGGAAACTCTGGGACAGTTCTACTTTTTCCTATAGGGTCGCTGTGAGTCAGAATCAACTCCATGGCACATACCAACAGTAGGAACTCAGTAATTACTTTTACATTTATCATCGTCATTAACAGTAAGTTACCTTTTAGTCATCAAGAACCCATGCCAGGCCTTTGGCATGCTATCTCTTAATCCTTATAACAACCTCATCAAGCAGTAATAGTATCTCCATTTCACAGATAAAGAAACTAAGGCTCAAGGAGATTAAAGCAAGTTAACAGCTGCTAAATGCTGAGCACGAATTTGAGCTCAGGTCTTTTTCCTACCACCAGCTTCCTCAAATGCTCTCACGGAGCTTTTCCCTAGAGTTCTAGACAGTCCAGGAAGCTGGACCAGGAGCTCTAGGGTCTCAATCTCATTGGCTCTGTTATTGACACCCACATTGTTTACTTCCAAAAGTGACAACTAATGTGATATGACCTGTGTGTGCTGGTTTTCCTGGGGAGACCAATGCCGCTCCTGAAACTGGAGTACTTTATGAAGAGAGGTAGGCATCTGACATAAACCACACTCCCTCAAGTGCAGTCACTCATTGCCTTTGGTCTCTAAAATTCAAACCAAAAACCGAACTCACTGCTGTCAAGTCCGATCCAACTCATAGCGACCCCTCCTTGGGTTTCCCAGGCAGTATCACTACAGAAGTATATTGCTTGGTCGCTAAAGAAAGATATAATTCCTTAGGTGGGCTTCTCCCCATCCAAGGGTCTGATCAACTACTCCCCTCTGGTTGCCTCTAAAAACAGCATTTCTGAAAGACATTCAGACTCCAACCACGAGGTTTATTCCTACTCTAGGAAGGACTCAACAGCAGATTTAATCCCAGAGAAGTCCACCAGCAGTAACAAGTTTTACCAAGTATGCTGCTGACCCTGTGACAACAGACACTCCTGACTCAAGTCACATTTTGCAAATCTCCATCCCAAGGGCATTTTCTTGCCCCAGGATTTTTCCCTTCACAATTTTTGCTTGCACAAGAATTTCAAGGAAGCCATCAGCTTCAACAGATATGGTGCAAAGAATGCCGAGGAGCATATTTCCTCTGCAGGCCCATAATTGCTTCTGCACTAACAAGTTCAAATTCCCCACGTGAGAACTCCTCATGGTTGGAGACACAAAACTTCATCCATTAATTGAGTTAACAGAAAGCACCTTTCATTCCAGATTTACAGCTTAATTATTTGTACTGAGAGAAAACAGTGTAACAGCTGGCCAGGCCTGTAGACCCAGCAGGTGTTATCAGAAAAAAATGTGACTTTAAGATTCAAGGGCCCACAACATTCAAAAATTCCAAAATTCTTAACTGCTGAAATCAAGATGTTTTCTCCAATTCTAAAATCCCATTCGCCTCTTCTAAACACAAAGTCCTCTCCTTACTGTGGCTTCGCTTTGCTTTCTCTGGTCTGTTGGTCCTGGAAGAGCCTCTGTTCAACTAAAGGCCTTTAGCGGTGGGGGTGTGTGTGGGGGGGATCCTTTTGTCATTAGTCTATTTTTCCTGAGCATAGCTCAAGAATGCAGCCCATAACAATTAAGGCTACTAAGCTTCAAAATACCCTCTCCAGCCTAAAAAGTTCATGTGGGAACCACTTTCAGTTGTTTTTAAAAAAGAGAGAGAGAGAGAGAGAGAGAGGCTAAGAGTACCGGCTTCCACTTTCTCCTAGGACAGCACCGCTGCGGTGGAATTTGTCACTGGCAAACCTTGTCTGCAAAGCCCCAGCTCAGATCAGACATTTTGCTTTTAACCCCTGGGCTGCGCCCGCCCAATACAAGGGCCCTGCGGGTCTCAGATGCTGCCAGGCGCTTTGGGGGCTAGGCCGGGGGAGGGAGGGCACACCACTCCAATGGTCTTCTCAGCTGATCTAGTTCTGTTGAACAGGTGCTTGGTTAAATGCATCTTGTGGAAGCAGCCATGCAAGAGTATCTTCTACCCGAGCGTCTGCCCTGCGGGAAAAGCCACGCGGAGCACATGGAAAGTGGCTTTCCAACTTGTGCGGGGCCGGAGGGTGGCGTGTTCAGTGATTTGGGAAAGGCCTGCATCTTCCTGGTACAATACTCCCATCAGCCCCACAGCAGCAATACGGTGACCCTAACACTCCACCCCCGTCTAATACACGCACGTGAAGCTCAGCAAAGCGTGCCACCTGCAGAGTTCCCAGCCAACAGCCCTATGGGAAGGACTGGCGGAAAGCACTGTTGTGGTTTTTATTTAAAAAAAAAAAAAAAAAAAAAATACGTAAACTCTCTTGGGGCCAGGGATTACCCCAGGCCGCGGACGCATAGGATCTGCCCTTGGAATCTCCTCCTCCCCGGGCCAAGCGCGAGTAGGGCGCGTAGGGAGGTGGGCGCGGCTCGCCCGGCCCTGGCCGCTACTCCCGGGCCCCACTAACCCCTCGGACCAGCGAAGCCCCGCGTGGGAAGGCGTAGGGCGGGCCATGGGCGCCGGGGCGCGCCGGGCGGGCGGGAACAGGGCGCCCTTGCCCCTCCTCGCGCGCGGGCCGGCGCCCTGGTTGGGGGAGGAAGAGTCGGGAAACTCACAGCCGCTTGTCCTCGGGCTGCAGCTGCCAGTGCATAGCCAGGGAGAAGCCGAAGAGGCTCCCGGGTTCCCCGAGTTTCCGGATCACATTGTCCTCGCGGGTGTCTAAGTTGAAGGCGGCCCCGAGCCGGGGCAGGAGCCCCGCCGACAGGTAAATCAGCCACAGCTGCCCCGCGGCCGCCATGGGCGGGCGCACGGGGAGGGGAGCTGGGACTTGGGGCGACCGCCCTGCTCTTGGGTTCGGGTCTGGGTCCGACTCTGTTGCGTTGCTGCTGCTGCCACGCCGACCGCGGCCACCTTCACCTCCTCTCGCCGCTCCGCCCGGCCCCACCCCCGGACCGGTCGCGCTCTTGGTCCGGACGCTCCCCCTCGCGAGCAGCTCCAGTCGGCTGAATGAGCCCGTTGTTCTCTGGAGACTCTCCGGCGTTTTATCAAGTGACGAGGACGCCGGCCCCGCCCCTCCCCACCCCTCTCGCCCCTCCTCGCGCCTGCCGGCCCTGCCAGCCGCCGGCACCTTCCTGGCCAACTTAGCTCCCCCAGCGAGCGTCGGGGCGCTGCTTCCCCCCAGCCAGGCTTGGGTCCCACGCCTCTCACGCTGCCGCCCTCCCCCCCCCTTACCTGGCCCGGAAGGAGCGGCCTAAAAGACTATGCCGACCAGCCAGCAGTAGGGTGGCGAGCTTGGAGCCTCGCAGCCCCACCCCGGAGAACCCCTTTGGAAAGAAGCACCTGAATGGTGGTTGCAGTTCAGCGCACAGCGAGAAAGGAATTTACTACCTGTTGATAGAGAAAGATGCTAGTGATGGCCCGGGCCTCATCGCCTGTGCAAATGCATACTTCATTCGTTTGTTCGACAAGTGTTTGTTGAGCACCTAACATGTGCCAGAGACTTGGATAGTGGAGTCGCACACAGTACTCGAAGATTGTATCTTCAAAAATTATGATAGCACAAAATTTGATAGTGTTGTAAACTTTACAGAACACAGCTATTATTTCATTTAATCCTAACAATCCTATGCGCTGGAATTTTCTTTTTGCAGATGAGAAAACTGAAAAACAGCATTGCCTCTGATCACCCAGGGATGGATGCCCACGTGAAAAGAATCTATGGGAGAAGTCACACTGTTGTCAGAAATTTAAAACTTGGGTTGATAGGTCTTTGGAGGCTGGGAAAAAGCCCCTCAACAGTAAAGGACGGATTGTTGAAAGTGGTATCCAGGACCTCAGGGGTTATCCTTTCCTGGCCCGAAATTTCCAGAACTAGTAGGAGAAGGGGACTAGTGACCAAGAGGCCAGTCTAAGCTCCTTGTAGGCTAGCGATGAAGTCTCCTGCCTCCAGGGCATGAAGAGCAAGGATTCTTAAAGAAGGGGGAAAGAATTCAGGGACTTCTGTAAACTTGAAAGAGGGAAAAAAAATATATATATTTTCACTAATGTCTGACTGACATTCAGCATTTCCTCCCATTATGAATGTAGGCAGCAAACCACAGTGGCTTAGGATAAGTATCTGTGACTTAGTCACCAATGGAAGTCATAGGGTTTTTTTTGACACATCATAGTTGTTGCACATATCTCAAAATATCATTTACACTTACCACTATCTCAAATTACAGTAGTTATTACCAGAAGGCTGGCAGTTCAAACCCACCAGCCACTCCTCGGAAGGAAGATGGGGCAATCTACTTCTATAGTGATACTGCCTCAGAAACCCAAGGAGGGGTCGCTATGAGTCGGGGCTGACTCAACAGCATGTAACAGCAACAACAAGGTTTGTTATGAGAGTTCTGGTGGTGTAGTGCCTAAGGCACCTGACTGCTAACCAGAAGACTGGTGGTTCAAACCCACCAACCACTCCTCAGAAGGAAGACTGGGCAATCTACTTGTGTAGAAATACCACCTCAGTAACCCAAGGAGGGGTCACTAGGAGTTGAAGCAATTCGACGCCAATGAGTGAGATTTGTTATGGAGTAAATTAATAAAGAAGCATACATATTGCTATAGCGAAAATTTATCTCAATAGTTCAACAACTGTATTTCAACTAATTGCTTTCCTTTTGTCTTAGTTCTCTAGTGCTGCCATAATGGAAATACCAAAAGTGGATGGCTTTAACAAACAAATTTATTCTCTTACAGTGTAGAAGGCTAGAAGTCTGAATTCAGAGTGCTGGCTCTAGGGGCTGGATGAAGGCCCCTCAAACTTGAGCTTCAGCTCTGCTTCTTGTTCCAGGCCCACTGGAGCTGAAGGTGTCTTCTAACTCAAAAGCTGCTGGCTGCCGAGGCTGATGAACCCAAGGTCAGCAGACAAAATGTCACAATCTCAAGATCAGCAGGTAGCATAGCAGGCTACTGGTTCAAGTCTAGGATCTGGAGATGAAGACTCAGCCAAATGTAGGATCTAAATGTGCCAGAAAGCCAGAGACCTTTCCCAAAGCTTTTCCATATATACTAGAAGCAGGCCACACCCCAGAGGTGTGATGCATACCTTTTCTGATTCTAAACCTCACAATGTCCCCTTATTCTGTTGGAACGATTGCCTCTTGTCTATATAGGTTCTGCAGGAGCACATTAAGTGTTCTGGAATTCACATTCTACACAGTGTTACCTATAATTTATTATGATCTACACAATCTGATGCCTTTGCATAGTCAATAAAACACAGGTAAATATCTTTCCGGTATTCTCTGCTTTTAGCCAAGATCCATCTGATATCAGCAATGAAATCCTTTGTACAGTGTCCTTTTCTGAATCTGGCTTGAATTTTTGGCAGTTTCCTGTCAATATACTGCTGCAACTGTTTTTTAAGTTATCTTCAGCAAAATTTTACTTGCATGTGATACCAGTGATATTGTATGATAATTACAATATTCTATTGGATCACCTTTCTTTAGAATGGGCACAAATATGGATCTCTTACAATTGATTGGCCAGGTAGCTGTCTTCCAGATTTCTTGGCACAGATGAGTAAGCACTTCTAGCATTGAATCTGTTTGTTGAAACATGTCCATTGGTATTCCATCAGTTACTGGAGCCTTGTGTTTTGTCAATGCCTTCAGTACAGCTTGGACTTCTTCCTTTAGTACCATTGATTCCTGATGATATGCTACCTCCTGAAATGATTGGGCATTGATAAAATCTTTTTGGTACAGTGTACTGTGTGTTCCTTCCATCTTCTTTTGGTTTTGCCTGTGTCGTTCAATATTTTGCCTTCAGAAGCCTTCAGTATTGCAACTGAAGGCTTGAGTTCTTTCTTTTCAGGCTGAAAAAGGCTGAGCATGTTCTTCCCTTTTGATTTTCTAACTCCAGGTCTTTGCATATTTCATTATAATGCTTTACTTTTTCATCTCTAGCCACCCTTTGAAATCTTTTGTTCAGCTCTTTTACTTTATCATTTCTTCCATTCACTTTAGCTACTCTCCATTCACGAGCAAGTGTCAGAGTCTCTTCTGACATCCTTTATGGTCTTTTATTCCTGTCTGTGTTTTTTATGACCTTTTGGTTTCCTCATGTATGATGCTCTTCATGTCATCCCAGAACTTATCTGGTCTTCAGTCATTAGTGTTCAACGTGCCAAATCTATTCTTGAGATGGTCTCTAAATTTAGGTAGGATGTACTCAAGGTCATACTTTGGCTCTCATGACATGTTTTAATTTTCTTCAACTTGAGCTTGCAGATGAACAATTGATAGTCTGTTCTGCAGTTGGCCCTTGGCCTTGTTCTAACTGATGATGTTGAGCTTGTCCATTGTCTTTTTCCACAGATGTAGTCAATTTGATTCCTGTGTATTCCATCTAAGGAGCTCTGCTGGCACAGTGGTTAAGGCATGTAGCTATTAACCAAAAGGTCGGCAGTTTAAACTCACCAGTCACTCTATGGCAGAAAGATAAGACAGCCTACTTTTGTAAAATATTTACAGCCTTGGAAACCCTATGGAGCAGTTCTTCTGTCTTAAAGGGTCACTATGAGTCAGAATTGACTCAATGGCAGTGGGTAGTGGTGGTATTCCATCTGAGGAAGTCCACATGTATAGTCACTGTTTACGTTGTTAAAAAAGGTATTTGCAACGAATAAGTCATTAGTCTTACAAAATTCTATCATGCAATCTCCTGTATAGTTTGTATCACCAAGGCCATATTTACCATACAAGGTCAATTACCACATGGCCTAGCAATTCCACTCCTAGATATATAAATAAAAGACTTGAAAACAGGAGCTCAGACAGATATGTGTACACCAGTGTTCACTGAAGCATTATTCACAATAGCCAAAAGGTTGAAACAACCCAAGAGTCTATCAGCAAATGAAGAAAAGAAATGTAGTATATTTATACAATGTGGTATTACTCAGCCATAAATAGAAATGAAGGCAGGGTGCCTTCTCAGGGAAGTGCTTGAGCTGTGTTTAGGGGCCATGGGAAGAGGTACTCTTTACCTCCAGTGCTATTTATGCCAAGGGAGCAACCAATGCCACATGGAAAATCTGCCTGAACATCAGCAAGGTCACCACAGGTGATAATAGCTGCTAGAGTGAGTCCCTCAGTATACTTGGGGTACGTGCCACTTCTCTGCCAATCAATAATGCAAGTCAAATATAGTCTAACTGGTATGCACTGCTTTTAAATTAAGTAAATGATCTTGGTGATGATACTGCCTTAATAAATACATCTTGATAAAGTTGAGAAGCTTTCCATGACAATTGTTTAATAAACAATTGTAAGATGATTTTCCATGCAAGAGAGCTATAAGTTAGCCTTTCTTCTTCATGATAAACACATAACTATTCCAGAAAGATGGGCCCAACCTATTATAGTTAAAGCATAATGGACCTCACTGCAGGCTGGGACTCACCTGGGACCCACTGATGTGGTAGTAATGGTTGTTGAAATCCAGAAATACTTCTCAATTGGCTGGCTGAAGCTACTCCCCTGAACTCTCCAAGTATAACTGCCCCCATCCTAGGGCCCACCAACTCTTCATAATCCAACAACTAAAGGTTTAAGCCCCTATTTAAGCTCTGGCACTCCCAAGCTTACTTCCGATTGGTTGTGGCCGTTTCATACCAGCTGTTAATGATTTTGAGTATCACTCTTTGCTTATAAGAGTAATTCTGTTGAGCATTCATTGCTTCCTTCACAGGATCTATTTACTAGATGATGTAAGAATAACCAGAGTCATCTACTTGATCCCAAATATTGTTTATGCTCAAATTGGAAATTTAAAGAATGGGTTAATTTGCCAGAAAATATGTAGTGCTGCTGAACTAAATGATGCTTGTGTGGAGGAGAATGGAATAAAGGAAAACAAGGATGAGACTTAGACTTGTTCTGGGGTATGCCAGGTGCCTATCACAGATGAAAAACTTAACCAGCCACACGCCTACTTATTATGATCTCCTATGTAGGAT